CGAGAGACGATTCGATCTTTTCCCTTTGCAAATTCTCGTGTAACTAAAAAAGGATTTCGACAGTTTAATCCTTGATACACAACTGTTGAGCATCTGTAATCACCAGACCTTCTTTCTAGGCTATTTCTGGTGTAAATCGTGTAAGCAATCTGTAGTCCAGGACCAATCCTTTATGCTTGCTCTCCGTATAGCATCATAAGGAAATCAGAAGATAGACATCTAAAGTTAGAATGATGAATTATTTAGTGTTCATCGACTGGTCAGAGCCTAGCCTAGCACACCCAGCTCTACATTGGAAGTCTGCTTGACTTCATTGAAAGATCAAAGCCTAATTGCAAGTAGGCCCTAGATCTACAAGGAGACTAGATATAATAATTATAAGGGCTATAGACTATTAGGTCTTATTATGTTTTTTTTTAATTATCTCTTTAAAGAATTGAAGCTTACCAGTATCACTGTATAATAGGCCTATAAGGCTAAACCATTTTTACAGCAAATGTGTCCAGTATCGTTCAGTAAAGTCTGTTAAGATCTTGTAGGTAAAGCGAGGGCCTATCATTCAAAGTGGCCTGTTCGGCGGTCCCAACGGACATTTACCTGAATGCCAGTCCACCCCTTATTATTTCATGCTTTCAATACGCTCATTGCGCTTCTCCAATCACTTAAATTGTATGAGTGGAGGGGGGTGGAGCAGTTCAGTTGAGGTTGGGGAATTTGGGAGATGGTTTCCGTGCTGGCTTTTCGACTTGAATTAGAACTCGAGCTAGTGAGTTGCCTATAGCCTATGGGTAAATCCGGCCATGACTAGGTACCATTCAAGAAGAACTTCAAACGTCTAGAGATTTTAAAAAGTAATAGTTTTCGAAACTATCCAGAAAAACATCAAAACTATCAAAATAAAATAGTTCAAGTTGGCATTTCTTTGCTTCTAGATCTATTTTTAGCTTGATAAACATGGCTGCTCACAAGTTGTGTGTTGTTTTGGGCCTGATAGCTCTTGCACATGCAGCATATTCTGCGGCTCAACGTAAGTCCCATATTATAACTGAGTTATATTTTTTTCCAATTTAGTATTAGTTCTATATCTCTGTAACTTTACAGGCTCTAGATCTGTCTATTCTGTAGATTATCAATATAGAATAGATCTACTCTAGTTAGACTGAGTAGAGACTAGAGTACTAGACTGAACTGAGTTATAACTGAGTATAGTCTAGTACTGCTGACTATTAATACTATTAAGTGATAAGTCTGTAACTGTAACAACTGTAGTAACACTCATACTCATTATCATTACACTCAGTCAGTCAGTGTGACTCAGTTGTTATGTTACACTGACTCAGACCGTGGACATGAGTGACAGGATAATAATGTCAATCATGACAAATCGATATCATATGATTATTATGTAATAACACTAGGTAAAGTGTCTAGAGTACTCTAGAGTAAAGCTGTCATATCAACCCCCCCCCCTCTTCCAATTAAACATTGCACTCTATCCAGAAGAAATGAAGAAACTAATACTTAGGCCCTACTACTAAAACTAAAGTCTAATACTAATAGTAAATTAAAATAAAATAAAAAAATTTGAGAAATGGACAAGCTCTCATGACCGTTGAATCACAAGAATTTTCAAGAAAGATGATGCCTGTTATAACTTAATAATAAGTATAAGCTATCCCGACAAGATCAACTTTTATTTTTCGACTCAGGACTGGACACAACAGAATGAGACAACACACGGAAGCTCAAAATCAGAACCAGTGAAATCTGCCTATCTGGAGTGTCACCAGAGAATGTTGACCATTATCCATGTCCTTCAAAACTGTAACTCTTTTTTTACCATGAGCCGTTCAAGACACTGGCCCCAAAACACCCCAATAGAAAGAAAACTTTATGGAGAGCTCCCTGATTTGGAAACCACTGCGCAGTTCATCTCATATATATTGGTCTAGCCATCTGAACACTCCAACATAAAAAAATGAGAATGAGGAAGAAGAAACACCTTCTTTTTGTATACCATATCGGACATCTCACCTTATTTTTATTTTAAAATCTTTGTTTAGATGGTTAGTACAGAAATACTGTGGTATTGTGCGCAATCCATTTTTTCTATTTTTTTACACATATAGTTTTTTGTGCAAGATCGTTTTTCTACTAGTGGATAAAGTACACTGGTATGAAAGCATGTTATTTTGACTTCATACACATGAATTGGGGTGTTTCTGGAACTAAGGGTACTGTATAGCCCCATGGTGCATTAGCCAAGTAAGACGTTTATATTTGGATTCAGGATTGAAAGGAGAATATATATATATTACACTTCCTTGCTTTTCATTAAGCCTATTCAGAGTTATAAGGGGTAATCGATAAGATTTACCATTTTTAAAAATGCTACAATATCAAACAATTTTTTTTGAGTGTTCATGTATTTCTATGCAATGTTTTTTAATGTTCAAAGCATTTAAATAAACATAATCAGTAAATTTTTAGTATCTAAAAGATAACAAAACACACTTGACAAGCAATTTATAAATACATGTTTATTTAACATTATTTTGACAAAAAAAAAAACAACTTTTTTTATACAAATTAACTAAAAAATGTTTGCAGATTTACTTCCCTTTGCCCCCAAAATAATTTATATTAAGTATGGTCTCCCCTGCCATTGCTAAATCCAGGACCGCCTCTACCTATTGTGCAATGTGTGCATTGCACGCAGGCGGCCAAATGTTAGGGGAGACCAAATCATTATTCCAAGGTTACCTTTTTAGTTAGTTAAGCATAGAATATTTTTGGATCATCATAGATATGGATCTACAATTAAGTTGTAGGCTACTAGATCTAGTTGTTAGGAGTATCAACCCATCGTCAGACCAACAACAAAGGGAGGGGATGACGAAAAAATTGTTTTATTTTCATTGTAGTTATTAATCCGTGTCTGAATATTACCAATGTTTACAAATTAAAATATCTTAAATAAAAGACGTCGTTTCATCTTTTAATAAGACCTTATCAAATGTAGACTGTTTTCGCGAGAGGGGTATGCAACAATTTGGATTAAAACTTTTTGAAGAAAGCATTTCAAAACGTCTCCGCTAGTGTGATTCTTCTTTCTTACCTGAGATTGGTCGAATTTCTTCCAACTATTGCAATTCATTATAGGGTATTCTGTTTTGTACTGGCTTTATAACAATCAAATGTGATCTTCCTTTTTTTTTTAATTGAGTTGTTTAAATGTTAATTTTTATAAATCTTTTTTTAATCTAGATCGTACATATCTCAGATTAACAGAGCAAGAGTTTACCATGTTACCTCTTGATGTAAGTATTTCAATTAATTCATTGTCATATATATATATATATATATATATATATATATATATATATATTGGTTTAATCATTTGGAATAGAAAACTCTGGTAGAATGTAGTTAGGGCTAAATATTTAAAATATAATTTATAATAAATATTTATAGCAGCATAGTATTAAAGATTTTTTGTTTGGAATATACTTTTATTTTTCGGCACTCAATAAAAACTTTGTGAAAGCTATAAAAGTGACTTAAACCTCTGTCAGGTCTCATTCCCAGTGTGTCACTTTCAAATTTAGCTTTTTTTTTTTTTTTTAATAATAAAGTATACTAGAGTTAATCAATTTATAATTTTGTATGTACATTGATTAAATTAAAAAAAAATAAAGCTATTACCTCCACAAGGGATTAAGTCATTACTAATTACCCTTTTTTGATCCATTCACAATGTGACAAAAAGTACTTTCATTAAGCTTTACATTTGGCATGGCCTTGTATGAGACATTATTGTGGTCATATGGAATCAGGTTATATTGCTTAGCCATTTCAGACTTGGTCCATTTTCTAATAAATCAGCAGATGAAAGTTTTCCCTCAGAAATACTTGTAATGATTTTGTTTAAACAAATGAAGTATCTAGATGCGTGTGTCATAAGAACTGTGAAAGCTCTCAAAGTGTATAGAAAGTTATAATTCATTTGTAGTTCACTATTCATGCACCAGTTTTCTATTAACTGACACACAAAAATCTTAATCTGCCAACAGATTCTCCTTCAATGCATTTTTGCTCTCCTCATCACTTGCTATGGCGTGGTTCATGTCGCTGGTAACTTTAAGGAGATCAAAGCCAGCGCAGAGCAAGATGCAAAGTGAGTCTCTTTTTTTTTTTTAAAAAAGTTGTACGTTCAAAATAATACATATTTTGAAATCAATTTGAATTATTTCTAAATTCTGATAATCTTAAATGTTCTGCAGTTGTATATTATGTTAAGAGAAAAATGGCATTGCTAGGTGTGAATTATGTATTCTTCTACTATATATAACTTTGCTTAAAGCTTGTTGAAAATAAAAGTTTTGAAAATGTATTAGAGGTCAGCAGGGATTCTAGTTATTATTTATATTAAACATTCAAATGGCACTTCAGAAACTTATTTCATATTATTTAGCTTGCAGCTTTTTAGCAACTAAACCCTTTCATACATCAATGGCACATTTTATAGTAGCGAAATATAGAAATACTCGATTTTAAATGTTATGCTGTTTTTTTTATTTAAAAAAATAAGAATATTTTTATTTTTGTTTTTAGAACATGGGAAATGTTGAGCAACAGACAAGGATTCAACATTTTTTACCACAGAGGGAAAGCATTGTTTTCAAGTTGTAAAGGCTGACTTTCATTTAGTTGTCATTGAACATTCCTTCACAAAGAATTTCTGAGACTAGTATTTATTGTGGACAGTGGAGTTATGAAACATTGAATATTTTGATTGCTAACACTGAATTTATTTTATGGTTATTTTATGCTTGTGTTGTATTTTCTGAAGTGAAGTACTGCACTTATCCTTAATATTCAGAATCAAAGGCAATGCCAATTATTTTATAAATATAAGGAGTACCATGATATGAACAGAATTATAAGAAAATGATATTTTCCTGTTTTTCAGACTTGTTTTTTTTTTTTTGGGGGGGGGGGGGGGGGGGGGGTAAAATCTAAATCTTACTACAGTATTTCTTCCAATTGAAACATTCTGATGTTTGCACTATTTTGTTTATTGGGGGCATTATAAATATGTGTGTGCAGAGATTTAAGTTAATTTAACAGTATAAAGTTTATCTTGATTAAACAGTTTAAACTTTGTCCTTTTTTGTTGCTTTGGATCTGTTAAAAGAAATAGTTACATTTAATTTGACATTCTAGGCACAGTGTTTTGAAATGTGAAATACCTATTTGAAATGAATTGTTGAAACTGTAACTTTCAGGTATACAATAATTTTGTTGTGGCCTAATGATGGGATGATGTGGCTAGGATGTGTTGAGTGTAAGACTGAATTTCCTGAGTTTGTACCCTATTAGACAATTTTGGATTTTTTCTTATGATTGTCAGTCTTGGTGGTTTCCGGTCATTTTGATCATTGTGCATACTTTAGGGTCAGGTAAACTCTAACAGATAGTTCTTTTGCAATAGTCAATTTTAAAAAAAATTAATAATCAAAGTAGTAAAAGTGCTTTACACTTGGTAGGAATGGTGAAAGTCTTATCAATGAAAGTATTTGAACATGTTTCTTTTAATTGAGAGTATAACTGAATGACCTAAATGTGAGTGATGGTGTGTTCTAGTTTGATATCAAGGATATTTCTTACAATGCAAGTTTCTACTTCTTTTTTTTTTTTTTTTATTATATTGAATCTGTGACTTTTGTATTTAAACATGTTCATTTTTAAAAGTAAGATTAGATTGATTTTTTGATTTTACAATTTGTAAGTCATATGATTCTCTCTGTGAAGACTTCCCTGTTTCTTGTGCAATGGTTTCATACTGTTTGTAGAAATAATAATTGTGTTAGAAAATGCTGAATTCTGTTTGGAACTAGTTTATTAATAAACTGTTCAATTGTATTTTAATATCACTGTTAAACACACTGACAGTTTGGCTTATTAAAAGGTAGTATTCCATGCATATACTTAGCAATCCTGCTAGTGTTATAGGAGTGTATCCAAGGATATTTAAACACTTTTCTGTTACGGTGCTAATAGGTTACTGTTCATACAACTTTCTTGATTTGAAATTATCAAATGTTAATGTCTTATGCATTCTGCCTAGGGTTTGTAACAACTGAGTTTTTGCATTGGTAGAAACAGGATGTAGATCATTTATCCTTTCTCACCCACACCGCCCCCCTTTTCCTCCCAATGAATGATTAATGCGTGAAAAATTCTAACTTAAGATTGAATTTTTTTTTTAATAATTTTTTTGAGGTAGAAAAACTAGTTAACAGAATAAATTAATTACAATTTATATCAATATGAACTGATAGCTTGTGCCATTGTCACAATGTATGTGTATTGAACAGAATACATGTTATTTTCTGGTAGACAAAGTGTTTTTTAGTACCAGTATCGTGTGTAATGTTAGAAACATATAACCTAGTAATAATTTATGTTTTTCATAACATGTATGCAATAAACTGAATGTGGCTATGTGAATATAAAGATAACAGAGAAGTTTTTATGTATAATATTTAACTCATACAAAATAAGCATATGTCTGCAAATATTCAACTGAATGTTTTACATAATTATGCAGGACAAGCTAAGAATTAACATATTCACTAATGCTTTACATTCCAAGTGAAATGCTAAATAATTGTTTTCTCCTCACACTTCACACACAAATCCTTGAAACAAAATTTGTGAGGAAATAGTTTTGGTCAAAGTTGTCAAGTTAGCCCATGACTTTGTCAAGTTAGCCCATCACTAACACATGTACCGGAAGCTCAAAATTGGAACCAGTGAAATCTGCCCATGTGGAGTATCACCAGAGAATACCAAGAGGCCCGTATAAGACATTGGCCCCAAATCACCCCAATAGAAAGAAAACTATATGGAGAGCTCCCTGATTTGGAAACCACTGCGCAGTTCATCTCATGTATTGGTCTCAAGTCATCTGAACACTCCAACATAACAATGAGAACGAAGAAGAAGCCCATGACTTTGTCACGTTAGCCCATGACCTTGTGAGTGGTGGTTGAAGACGTGAAGCCCCTCTGGTCCAGACATCCACATGCCTAGGGCACAAAGTTCTAATGGGTGCCTGACATTAGGTTGGTGGGAAAAGTAAAGGTGGTTACTTGTTGTGCTGGCCACATGACATCATCATTTACAGTGGGCCACAGAAACAACCTTTACATCATGTGCCCCATAGATCGCCTGGTTTAAAAGGGGAATTTACCTTTTTTTTTTTACTAGGGCACAAATATTTTTTACTTGCACAACATATCTGGGCACACCTTCGGTGCTTAATGGATTAGCAGACAATTTAAAAATTAACCAGGATTCAAACTCAAGACCACTTGGTTCAAAAGAGTAGCCACTTCTTTTTCTTATTCATCTTGTCGTGGTAGTGGCAGTCGTTGTATTCGTAGCTAGTAGTAGATCACGTAGATTCTCGCACAATGTTTGTATGAATGCCTTTGCTTTGATGATGATGTTGTAGCGGATATAAAAAAAAAAAAACATAATTTGTTATTATTGTAATTATTTCTAGCAAATCGAACGTCGACTGGCAGCGACAAAGTTAATTTGTGCACAAAGTGCTTAGTTATTGCTAAGTCGATTTCAACACTATCCCAGTCAGTCAGTTATTAGAAGTTGTGGTTGTTGGTGTAGCAACCATTGCCATAAGGGTAATAACATACAATCTATTATTTTAGCTGGACATTGTTTAGATAACATTTGTGTCCATTTTGTTAGTTTAGTTGCATTTCCACCACTAATACCAATACCATCACCAAGACAGTCAACAGCTTCGTATAAAGGGGAAAAAACAAGAAGCTAGCGAGCGCCTACATGCAAAAATAAAACCCAAAAACAAACAATTCTCTGCACTCACTCTGTCCGTGAAAAAAACATCCTGTTTGTGACTTTACTGTCTGGCGGTGATACTGTTCTTTTTTTCTGGATAAAATCTTTCTCTCTCTCAAATATTGCGAGCATGAAAAAAAAATTATCGCGGGGGGGGGGGGGGGGGGGGGGCGATTATATTCTCTAGTCAGCAAAACAAAGTAGAAATTTAAAAAAAAATGTAAATAAAAAGTGAAATAATAATTTAAAAAATACTAATTAGAAAACAAAAATTATAAAATAAAATTCATTTGCTTTTTCACCTCCCTCTCTATTTCTATATACAAGTTTAAGTAACATGAGGTGCAGCCATTTTTCCCCTTGCCTGGTTGTGAGGTTTGTGCGCTGGACTTTTGTTCGGACGTATCGATGGTCCTGGGTTTAAAACCTGCTCGCCCCGTCGTCCTGTGGGAGGTTAAGTCTAGGAAGTAAATTATCTTCAACTCTGAAGGAACATCCGAAGCACGTCAAACATTTTACAAACAAACATTTCCCCTTCAATGAATTCACTATCATCCAACAAGACTTGATATGTCTTAAGATTATATATACTTAATGGATCTTGTATTTATGAAAAGTAAATTTTTCCTTTTCAGAATTTTATGTTTATTCTAAGTCTTGCAAAATATTTGCACTTTAAAAAAAAAATTGTGATAGCTATGAATTTTTGAAGATGTTATGAAATGGATTGACCTCTGATGAAAACGCCACGTTTGATGGACTGTAAAGTATCGCTATATGAGACAAAGGTCTTATTGTCCACTACCAGATACTCCAGTACCAGATACTCAACTACCGCAACCAAATAAAAAATAGTTTTTTTTTCAAAGTTATAGGAAATTTATTAAAGCATTTTTTAAAAAAGCGCACACTATGACAAAGGGAGATAGAAATGAACTATGAAAAAATAATTTAATAAGTGCTTACAAAAAATAAAATATTTAGAAAGCTTATTCCCTTCCGCATAAAATGCAAGTCTTTCTGATTGTTTCCCTTTGAATGATATACATTTACAGCAACCAATTCTAAACAATTTAATGCCTGATTTACCAGTAATGGCTTCTTGTACTGGTAATGCAGGCATACATTTGAAATATATTAAAGAGTTGAGTGGTTTATTTGAGTGTTTATGCATTAGCTTAGGCTACTTTTCTTTCTCCTACTCTGACAATGAGTCATATATTCCAGTACCGTAAATTGTACCTACATCAAATGCGGCTGTATTCAAGGATGTTTGTTAAAACATTCAAAACAATATCGCGTACAATGCATTTATGGCATTTAGATGAAGTCATTGTTTTTTCTTAGCTTTAATATTTAACTACCTTTCTATTGCCAGACTTTTTATGACTCGACGATAGCAAGTTTTGATTAGCGGGAAATTCTGGCAGGTGTAAGTGAAAATTTTCCACCAGTAAAAGTCTTCTGATGCTGTGCGCCTTTTTTCTCTCTTCCCTTAGTCTTTCAGCCTTCCAGTCTCTGTAAGCGAGGTGAAACGCTCGAGACAGAACTGCCGCCATTGTCTGAGACTTTTCCCTAGAGCTGCACAGTACGGCATGCGCTTCCAGTTGCTCAGTCGTCGGATTTTTGTAGATCCAGCAGAAGAGTCGGTCGTTGACACTTTTGTCCGCAGCGCAGTAAGAAATGTGCTCCATGGGAAATGTCTTTTTCTCGTCTTTGATAGACTTATCCAAATATCTGAGCTCCAGGCCTGCCAGACCCATTTTAACGAGAACTCTGTGGAGTTGTTTCTCCTCTGATACGTTGTCCCATAAAGTGGACAGCGGCCTGGAAGTGCAGCCACTTCCGCTGGATAAGTAAGCGTCCGTGTAGCCTAGGTAACGGACGTGGAAGATAGGCTCCTCCCCGGAAATGTCTGCTTTGTCCTTTCTCCATGAGAACATTTAAATTTGAGGTTTTCAGTGGGAGAGGAGAGCCGAAATCGATCTATATTGGCTACCTCAGGTAGGTCTTGACTCACTTGCTTTTATAGCTTTTGTTTTTGCTTCTCAAAACAGGTATCCCCTACGAAGGACAAAAATATTAAATTACCCATTTAAAAAATGATACTAGATTTAATTATCGATACAAACAGTTTACATGTTTTACTATCATAAGTGTTTGTGAGAAAAACTTAAAGAGTTGTGTAGGAAAAATTGGAAAGTGTGGATCAGGGCTCGAGATGTGTTTGAACGCCTCAAGGCAGCAGAAAATATTTTCCAAGATAGCCCCACACACACAACACAAAAGAGATTGGCGCAGAGCGTACTGAGTATATCGACGTCATAGCCGGAAGAATGTCCTACTATACAAAAGCTCTTTTAAATAATATCCTACTAATATTGCGTGTAGAAGGATTTAATGTCACATCACTGTAGTAACAGACACTTCAATCAACTTACACATCACTATAGTTACAGACTCGCTAGCCTACTTCAAACAACTTGGCCAGCAATATAACCAGAAGTCTTTACTTGCCTTTGTTTTTTGGCTTATTGTATGCAGATCTACGAAAATGTTGGAACTATTAAAATTAATTTTGAACTAAGACTTTCTTCTTCATTATTTTGTAATTCTATTTTTCTCTTGTCTTTTATTAATAGGATGATATTAAATGATTAACTAGCTAGATGAAAAATAAAAAAAAAAGATAAGATTGTCTGTTTTAGTTTTTGATGGGATATTTAAGCCAATAAATTTTTGCTATTCCTATCCCCCCCTCCCGCTTCTAAATGTCAATGGACGCTACAGCATGAATAAGGAATTGCTGCAGTTTTCCAGTG